GAGGGAGCCCGCCCTTTCAGCAGGCTGGAAATGCCCTGGGATCCCCCTGGGCGATGGTGGCCTGAGGGGTCATTCCTGCCCAGCACCTGTAAAGCCCTCAAGGATCCCATGGGGTGGTAAAATGCTCCAGGAATGCAAAGTGATGTGCAGGGCTCTTGCCCAGCCCTGGGTGCCACTGAAGGTGAGAAGCTGATTTAATTTCACAACCAGCAAAGCCCTTGGGGAGGTGGACATGGCCAGGCTGGGCACGAGGGCTGGTTATTTTCTGTCCTTGGCAGTGTGATTTGCAAAGTGTCGGGGCTCTCCGTGAGTTCACATCTTCCTGCAAGCCAGGCCACAACCCACATCCCACCCCATCACCTGGGCGAGGAAAAATGCCCTTGGTTGTCCCTTTTTTCTGCTGCTCGTGACTGTGGTCACCTCTTCCTTGCGGGGCGCAGGAGAAGCTGATGTCCTTTTGCACCCCAGCATGGCAACCAGGAGGGACGGGGGGGGACAGAGGGAGCAGCCAGCAACCGGTTATCTGATCCCAGCAGCTCCAGTGTAAACTTAGCATGGCCTTTCGGAAAAGTACTTGCTGTGGCAAAACACACAGTAAATCACTGTTCTGAATGCCAACAATATTTTGAGATTAGCAAATCTTATAGAGCTCCTTGGGTTAAAGCTGTTTGGGGTCGTGGTTTGCAGCCCTGCCAGTGTAACTGGGGGGCTCTCGCCACCCCAGTACCCCTCAGCCCCTGGGGATTGCACCGAGCTGCAAATGCTTCTTGTTCTATGGAGAAGATGGGGCAAGGTCTGGGGTCAGCACTGGGCATGGGGCTGCAGGACCCCCCACACTCATGTGAGCGCCCACCCCATGCTGCCGAGGAGCAGGACCGACTCTCTGATTTCCCTTCCTGCTCAGCCCAGCTCGGAAAATCCCCAATTTCCTCCTTTTTTTTATCAAGTAGTAAAACCAGCTCCCCACCGGCTGCTGCCCTGACCCTCTCCAGCATTGTCCCGCGCTCCCTGGGGCAAGCCACCATGACCTCCAGCACCATCACCCCGGCCCCCAGTCCCCAGTGTCCCCAGAACCTCCGGCACCGGCAGGTCACTGACCCACAACGCTTCGGGGTGGGGATGCGCAGGACTTTGCAAAAGCCACCCAGGAGGTTGGACCCCGCTGCCACCACCTGCCTCCAGACATGCCACGAGTTTTCCAAGCTCAGCTGAGGGCTAATTGTGCACCAGGGCCCTGCCTGTGGGACAAAGACGAGGGAGAAGCCCTTTGAATTGAGCAGAAAAAGGGGCAGCAAATACCTGGGGGTCAAGACCAGGTGCATCCAGATGGAAAATCAGCCATAGGCTTTGCAGGTGATTAACCCCTGAAACACGCTCCCAAGGCCAAAGTGGCCCAGAGCTGGCATTTTAACCCAGGACAAGTCACTGGTTCAGTACAGGAGGGACTGGGGAAAATCCTGTGCTACACCTGGGGCTGGGCTCTGCGGCTTGACCCTTTCCATCTATGGATGCCCGCTTGCAACCAGCGATGCCAGCCCGGCCAGGAGCCTGTAAACTGAGACGTCTTTGCACCTCCTGACCATTAAATGGCCTCAGAAAGGAGCAGTTTCCCTGCACTATATTTGCAAGGGGGCTGCAGCCCAGCACCAGTCCTCCCTGCCCACCCAGTGCTGCCCAAGCCCCTCTGACGAACACCACCTCCAAGAAATCCTAGAAGTGGATTGAAATGCTTGGGATTAAAACCATTAGGTGGAAGGAAAAGTGGCCAGATTAGCTTTGTTTTCTAATCCCTAGGAGTTTTGCAGCCCCCTCTGCAACCACCGTGAAAGAAACGGTCCCTAAAGCTTTTTGCATGCAAAAATGTGCAAGCTTTGGGGTCTGTGACTTGAACTTGGGCTCCCTGCACCCCAGCAATTGGAGCAGGGGTGGCTCTGGAGGGTAGGGGATGCACCTTGCTAAGAAGCCATGATTTTGGTGTCCCATGAGGGTTGGCATCTCTCCTCCTCAACCCCGTCTGGGGTTGCTTTGCTCCTGGTGGTGGGCCAGAGTGTCCCAGCTGGCTCTCAGCCCCCTCGTCCCGGCAGGTGCCCCTGCACCCACAAGCATCAGGGGAAGAGGGGCGGGTGAAGGATGTTACATGGCACCCCATTTTGGGGAGCTGGGACTGACCACCGAGCACGGAACAGGGCAGCGAGCGAAGCATCAGTGGCAGGAATGGTGCAAACACAAGTGAGCTGAACCTGCACGTCCTCAGCCGAAGTGCAAACCTCCCTGGAGCCAGAGAGAAAAGTCTCTCGGGAGGAATGTCTCCTCTCCCGCGAGGTCTCCCAGAGACGTTTCTTTGCTCTAATGCTGCCATCCAGTGGGAGAAAGTCCCTGGCATGGGAAAGGCTGGAAACGAGGGCCTTGGGGGTCTCCAGCCCCAGCGGGAGGCACCCACCACCTCCAGCAGCCTTGGGCTGCCCTCCCGGACCTCCCTGCCAGGGATGCTGCAGGCAAACCCAAGCCTCCATCTCCAAGCCCCGACCCCAGCCTGGCTGGAACGGGCAAAACAAAAACCGCTCACATGCCGCACGCTCAAGCTGCTCCGGCACCCTAACGCCCTCCCGAAAGGCAGCACCCAGCGAGGGGATGGGGAAGGGGTGAAGATGCACCGGGATGAGGCAAGAGGCAGCAAGCTGAGCCTTCCTCAAGAGGAGGAGGAGGCTGAGGAGCTGCTGTGCAAGCAGGGTCCCAGCGGCCAGGACACCCCAGTCCCAGTGCGATGCGGCGCCACGGGATGCTCACAACGGTATCCCCCGGCTGCGGGATATTTGCAGTCTGAACACACCACGCCTGCAGAAAGCCAAATTCCAGCGTGTATTCATCAGCACGGGGGCTGCAAGGAGGGGAAAAAAAAACAAACACAAAACTCCCCGGGCTTGGTTCAGGAAAGCGAAACGACTTTGGCAGCGGCGACAGAACAGCGTGACGGCAAGTGTTGCATCTGCGGTGGCCAGCAGCCCCGAGGATCCCACAATGTGCCCGTTTGTTGTGCCGGTGGGCGGCTGGCTTCCCGCAGAAAGGAGCTTTCAGAAGGAATATTCAGAAGTTCAACCTCTTTCAGCAGTGCAAGGTTTGCTGGATTGTGCGACGGGCACAAAGGGACAGTGTTTGCTCTGGAGCGGGGAGGTTTTGTGGCTGGGAACACGGCTCTTTTCTTCCCCGCACAGAAGCCGTCTGAGCAGAGTCAAGGCATTATCAAGGCAGGATGGTAGGCAGAGACTTGCCTTAAAGGAAGAAAGCAGAAAATATTTGTGTATATGGGAAAAAAGATCAAAGAATTTGGGGATTTCTTTTGGCTGAAGGCAGCAGCTGTTTTCCCAAGGTGGCTCCAGTTTCCAGGAAAGCCGGGATTTTCCTCCAAAATTGAGGGGAAAACCCCTAACTTTTTATTTTCCCTTTGTGCCAAGAGGAAATGTCTCCTGTGAACGAGCCCTTTGCACAAACAAACACGCTGCCCTCTCCTCCGGGAAGCACAAGTGCTCTTCCACCCACTCAAGATCAGCCAGAAACCATCCTCCGGACCAGCAATTCCCTGATAACCCCAACGAGGCGGCAGCATCCTGGCCAGGTCAGAGGCACACGCCCCGTCAGGGACGTGTTTCAAAAGCATCTGCCAACTCTACAAGCTGGCAAAGGCCATTTCTCCCGGCTGCAAACCCACCCTCGAGCTCCAGCCCACGCTCAGGGAAGGGAAGGGGATGGGAGGTGTTGCAAAATATGAAAGGAGGTTATTTGGTGTAGAAAATATGGTCTACATCCATCCATCTATGGAGCCATGCTCCGGCATTGGGGCTGAGGACTGTGCACAGCTCATCACACCTGAAGTCCTCATGACCCATAGCCGTGCCCAAAGCCCCTTCTCTGTGTTTAATTACTGCATAAGCACTGCCTAAAAATGGCAGAGGAAATACTAGGGGTGTGGACAGGCTAAGAATGGGAAAAGGGGATTTTTTTTAATGATATCGCTGGTTTTAAAGAGTCTTTCCTCGTTGGTGGGTCTGGAGCGGTAAAACCGCCCAGCAAAGCCGAGCAGCTCCGCAGGCATCCCGGCTGCGTGCCTGGGACAGGGTGGCCACCGTATCACAGTGCTAACGAACTGCTCTCCCTTCCTGTAACGAAGACGGATGGCAACCGGCCTCGAGCCCGAGAGTTGGCCGAGGCGCCTCTGAGTCACTCTGAGAGGAGGAATAAATCTCTGCCCGATGGAGAAATGCCAGCCCAAGGGAAAGCACAACCCGGTTGGCGTTCCCCAGCGGAGCCAGGACAAGCTCGCAGCCGATGGCTGTGGAAATGAAAGCACGGTGGCATCATCAGGGCGGCTTGGCTGACTCCCCATCACGTTGCAGAGCAGGAGACCCCAAAACCTCCATCCCCTGGAGGGGACAGTTCAGCATCACCCCCAGCCCCGCAGCGGCTGCACGGGGCACCGTCCCTGGCACCAGCAGGCTCCAGGGGAGAAAAAGTCATGGAGGACGCAGGGAGGCCAGAGCAGGGCTCGGGCAGGGATGCTGGAGGTTTGGGGCAGGGCGCTTTGTCCCCTGCCGTGCAGGGCAAAGCCACCCCTCTCCCC